GGGATAGAGAGCTAGAAACATTGATGAGAGAGAAACATTGATCAGCTGCCTCTTGCACACCCCCCAACCAGGGATGTGCCCACAACCAATGTACATGCCCCTGACCGGAATTGAACCTGGGACCTTTCAGTCCGCAGAGCCAAACCAGTCTCGGCATAATTCCTTTTTTTTTTTTTTTTTTTAAATTTAAATTCTTTATTGTTGAAAGTTTTACATATGTCTCCTTGTCCCCCCCAGCACAACCCCTCACCTAAATTCACTCAGTTTCAAATCTAGTGGATAACTTCCATTTTCTCCCTGCTCATATATTTATACAATACTTTTTTTTTAAAAAGGTAACAACTTCCTTTTTTTTTTTTTTTTTTTTAAATAGTTTTATTGATTTCAGAGAGGAGAGGAGAAGGAGAGAGATAAAAACATCAATGATGAGAGAGAATCATTGATTGGCTGCCTCCAGCATGCCCCCTACAGGGGAACAAGCCTGCAACCCTGGCATGTGCCTTTGACCAGAATCAAATCTGGGACTCTTCAGTCCACAGGCCCAAGCTCTATCCACTGAGTCAAACCAACTAAAATTACAATAAATACTTTTAATAAAGTGACAAGATGACTGATTTTTTTTGTTTTGGTAGTGATTTTTTTCAGAGTTTTGTTATATTTTGACATATATAATAAGTAGGAAACTAAAAATTTATTTTAAAAATTTGGCACATTGATAAAATTATAACTTGTATCATTAAAAACTAAAATAGTATCCTTAAAGTTTCTGTTGAGTTGGACAAATTTTCTTTGTTTTCAAATTATTTTTGCTAACTATACCTTTTTAGCTTTCCCCTGCAAATCATGTTCTTGCCTTGGTTTTCTTTCCTTTAAAAATTAATGGGAAATGTGCCCTAGCTGGTTTTGCTCAGTGGATAGAGCATTGATCTGCAGATGGCAGGGACTCAGGTTTGATTCTGGTTGCAGGCTCGAGGCAATCAATCAGTGTGTCTCTTTTGCATCAGTGTGTCTATCTCTCTAAAAATCAATGGAAAAATATCCTCAGGTGAGGATTAAATAAATAAATGGAAATGTACTTCATGCCACATCAAAAATGTTAAGATGGGGACTTTTATACGCTATGAATATTTTACTACAATTTTTTAAAAGGAACAAATTAATGCTAAAATAAATTTTATTTTTAATAAAACATTGTTTTTCGTCTTCAGGTTTTTCTTAGGTCAGTATTTGTCTAAGACTAAATGCTTTGCAGCTATTCCCATTCAAACACAACATTTATTTTGTAAAATTGCTCAATCATGGCTCAGGAAATTAACTGAAGTAATGATTTTTGTGGAAAATAAGATAATTAGAGAATATACTGTGAGTGGCCAGATTATTATGATCTCTGAATGCATAATAATCTGGCCACTCAGAGTGTGTGTGTGTGTGTTAGAGGCCCGGTGCATGAATTTGTACATGGGCAGTGGGCCGGCCTGCTTGGTGATTGAACTTCTGGTCGACGGGACAATTTGCATGTTTGCCTTTTACTGTATAGGATATATATTGAGTGGCCAGATTATTATGCGTTTAGAGATCATCATAATTTGGCCACTCAGTGTAAATTGCAATCAGACAAAAAGCCCTGGCTGGGTGTCTCAATAGTTGGAGTGTTGTCCCATATACCAATGAGTTTCAGGTTTATTCCTGGTCAGGGCAAATACCTAGGTTGTGGGTCATGGTGCATGCAGGAGGCAACTGATTGATTTTTCTCCCTTTCTCCCCTTCTCTTTCTGTCCTCCTCCCTCCTTACCACTCTCTCCCTCTCTTTCCCTTTCTCTTCCTCTCCCACTCTCTCCCACTCTCTAAAATCAATGAAACATGTCCTCAGGTGAGGATTACAAAAAAAAAAAAAAAACCACACACGCACACAAAACACGAGATATGAGCTGATTTATAACTTACATAATAAAGATAATTTGTCTAAAGTAGTTGTAATAACTACTTAGTATTTGCACCTTTATAAAAATCATCTCTATTTTATAAATGATAAAACTGAATTAGAGGAATTTTCCCAAACTATAGAGTTAGAACTGATTTTAGCTAGTGGATGGTAACAGAATGTTGACTAGCATTCTTTCACTGTTCTGCCAACTTACCTTACAACTTTTGAAGATGTCATTAATTAGACTTCTTCTTTAGATTCTTGACAATGAAGATAATCAAGTTTGTGGTGATTAGTGAAATCATTTCTGTTGTATTTGTTGGTCTCAGAAAAAAGGCATTAAAAAACATAAGATCTTATAACCTGTTTTTATTTTTTTATTCTCCTGTACAGACACTCCTATCCTAAAGCCAGTACCTGTCTTGAGAAAATGTGATGTGAAGGATTCTCCTCATGAGCCAGATTCATCCACACCTATGAAAAAGAAAAAGGGATGGCCCAAAGGCAAAAGCCGAAAACCAATCCACTGGAAGAAAAGACCTGGTCGTAAGCCAGGATTTAAGTTGAATCGGGAAATCATGCCTGTGTCTTCTACTCAAGAACGCATTGTTGAGCCCATTGTCCCTATTCTAAAACCTGGACGTAAACTCAGAATTCAAGAAAATGAAGAAACTGTTGAATCAAAGGAAGACTTACCTTTAACCGAAGAAAGGAAGGAAGAAGAGGAGATGCACATGGAAGCAGAAGAGGTTGAAGAGGGAGAAGAAGAAGATACAACCAGCAGTGAAGTTAGAGCAGTTTCTCCAGTGGATAGCAACAGTCCCGAGATGGAAATGAAAGAACCTGAGGTAGAGGAGGAAGAAGAGAAACCCCGTGTCTCAGAAGAGCAGAGGCAATCTGAAGAAGAGCAACAAGAACTGGAAGAACAAGAGCAAGAGGAAGAGGATGAAGTGGCTATAGAGACAAACCAGAATGAAGACCATGATGCAGATGATGAAGATGATGGTCATCTAGAATCTTCAAAGAAAAAAGAACTAGAGGAGCAGCCCATTAAAGAAGATGTCAAAGAGGGTCCTGGTAGTCAGGAAGCTTTTTTAGATACGAATATGCAGAACAGTAGGGGGAATGTAAAGGATAAAGAGGAAACAGAACCAGATTCTGAAGAAGAACAGACTTCCCATGAAACATCGGTGATATCAGAGCATATGCCAGGGTCTGAGGATGATCACGAAGAAGATTCAAACTCTAAAGAAGAATTAATTGAGTTAAAAGAGGAAGATGAAATTCCCCATAGTGAACTGGATCTGGAAACTGTGCAAGCAGTACAGTCCTTGACTCAAGAAGAAAGCAATGAGCACGAGGGTGCCTACCAGGACTGTGAAGAGACACTCGCAGCTTGTCAGACGCTGCAGAGCTACACCCAAGCTGACGACGACCCTCAGATGTCAATGGTTGAAGACTGTCATGCCTCTGAACACAACAGTCCAATATCTTCTGTTCAGTCTCATCCCAGTCAGTCCGTCCGTTCAGTCAGCAGTCCCAATGTGCCTGCCCTTGAAAGTGGTTACACCCAGATCAGCCCAGAACAAGGATCCCTGTCCGCCCCCTCTATGCAGAACATGGAGACCAGCCCCATGATGGATGTGCCTTCCGTATCAGACCACTCTCAGCAGGTGGTGGACAGTGGCTTCAGTGATCTGGGCAGCATTGAGAGCACCACGGAGAACTATGAGAACCCCAGCAGCTATGACTCCACAATGGGCGGCAGCATCTGCGGGAACAACAGCTCCCAGAACAGCTGCTCCTATGGTGGGTTACCGTCCTCCGGCAGCCTCACCCAGAACAGCTGTGTTGTCACTCAGCAAATGGCAAACATGGGCAACAGCTGCAGTATGATGCAGCAGAACAGTGTCCAGCCTGCTGCCAACTGCAACATCAAGTCACCTCAGAGCTGCGTGGCGGAGCGGCCTCCCAGTAACCAGCAGCCGCCGCCGCCACCGCCGGCGCAGCAGCCGCAGCAGCAGCAGCAGCAACCAGCACCTCAGCCTCCACCACCCCAGCAGCAGCAGCCGCAGCCGCAGCCGCAGCCACCACCACCTCAGCCCCAGCAGCCTCAACCCCCACCGCCACCTCAACAGCAGCCGCCCCTGTCACAGTGTAGTATGAATAACAGTTTCACTCCAGCGCCGATGATCATGGAGATACCGGAATCTGGAAGCACTGGGAACATCAGTATCTACGAGAGGATTCCAGGGGATTTTGGTGCCGGCAGCTATTCTCAACCATCAGCCACCTTCAGTTTAGCCAAGTTACAGCAGCTGACTAACACCATTATGGACCCTCATGCCATGCCTTACAGCCATTCTCCTGCTGTGACTTCCTATGCAACCAGTGTTTCTTTGTCCAATACAGGGCTGGCACAGCTAGCTCCATCTCATCCATTGGCTGGGACCCCTCAAGCACAAGCCACCATGACGCCACCCCCAAACTTGGCATCTACCACCATGAACCTCACGTCCCCTCTGCTACAGTGCAACATGTCTGCTACCAACATTGGCATTCCTCACACTCAGAGGTTGCAAGGGCAAATGCCAGTCAAGGGGCACATCTCCATCCGCTCCAAATCTGCACCACTGCCCTCGGCAGCTGCTCACCAGCAGCAGCTGTATGGCCGCAGTCCGCCAGCGGTTGCCATGCAGGCTGGCCCTCGTGCATTGGCCGTTCAGCGTGGCATGAACATGGGGGTTAATTTGATGCCAACCCCTCCCTATAATGTTAATTCCATGAATATGAACACCTTGAATGCCATGAACAGTTACCGAATGACACAACCCATGATGAATAGCAGTTACCATAGTAACCCTGCCTACATGAACCAGACAGCACAGTATCCTATGCAGATGCAGATGGGAATGATGGGGAGCCAGGCCTATACCCAGCAGCCTATGCAGCCAAACCCTCATGGAAACATGATGTACACTGGCCCCTCCCATCACAGCTACATGAATGCTGCTGGTGTGCCCAAGCAGTCACTCAATGGACCTTACATGAGAAGATGAGCAAGATGAACTTGCAATTAAAAACTTAAATATATATAAATAAAGGAACCTTTTATACTGACAAACCAGAGAAAAATGGACCTTTTTTTCCAGTTAAAATATTGCTGTAGATTTAGAGGAATTTTTCTTTGGTTTATTTTATTTTTAAAAAAAACCTGGTCTTCTCTTTTTTGGGGGTTCATTTTGTTCTGGGTTTTGGTTTTCTTCATAATCTTGAACATTTTACAATAGAACTCATCTAAAAATGGATTTGGGGATAGGGGAAACATGCACAAAAATCTTTTCATAATTAAAAAGAGCCTTACTTTCTTTACATACCACATGGACAGAATTTGTGTAAAAGTGAACTATCTTGATTTTATTTGAAGATGTATGTTTCCCTTCACTGTTTGCAGCTCCCAGTGTTGTCCTTTTTAAATGTTATATATACATCTCGAGGGTTAACCAGACCCTTTCCTCTGAACCCAACTTTTCAATTCCTACTTCATTCCAGCAGGAGGCACTTATGGGAGACTCGGACGGGGACATGGAGAACAACCCAAGCTCCTTAAACTTATTATTATTGTTATTATTATTATTATTATTAATAAAGTGAGGCAGGAAAATGCTTCTCCTTTTAAAATCCCCTCCACTCCCTACACACACACACACACACACACACACACACACACACACACACACCCCTCTTGAAACCTTTCCCCCAAAATGTGTTTTTTTTTTAGATGGACTTCATTGAAATGTTTGTCTTTCTTAAATCAAGTGTAATATAATTTTTTTTACAATACCCACTTAGCACTCAGAGACACACAAATACTGTAAGTCTCAATTAACAGCAGAATCTCAGAGGAAAGCTGTTTGCAATCCTAATTTAGCCTTGGAGAATAGAGATGGTCAATTAACAATCAAAAAGAGGAAATTGACCTCTCGTTTTTTTACCACCTGGTGAATCAGCCATAAAAGCCCACGTTCCACGCAACCTCTCGTTTTTAGTATGTACTTTGAGATGCTAAGGGTCTTAATTCCTGAGCCTTCGACTCTGATTAAACTCAAACAACAGTTCCTAGTGATTAGCCTCTTACATTCTTCCAGTGCTGATGAATAATGTTTCGGTGATTTGAAAATACCTGGCAAACCTTTGATACTATTTATGTTGGAAGAGATGACAGAATGTGTGTTGTAAGGAAGATCATGGTGTGAGTTTTATAGCTACTTAAATGATACATACCTCTGGTCTTCATTTGTCTTTTGAGATCCTGAGTTCATCCCCTGTGAATCAGAGTGCACTAGCTGCTCACCTGTGAGTGGCTGATGAGAAGAAAGATAAACCAACCACCAGCATAGCAGGGCAAATCTGGACAGCAGGGTTTTAGCAGGCTCCTATGTTCCCAATTCCATTCTCTCTTGTGCAGCCAGTTTGCCCATTCTCTTCCTGTTACTTGCTCCAGGGATAGGTAAAAAAAAATCTATATATATAAATATATATGTGTATTCCATCATTAGAAGATGGAAATTATTATACCACTTGGTATGTGCAGTCAAATATCCAAAAGGGGGAAGTACTGCTTAAAGAAATACCTATAAGCATTAAATTCTCTCCTTTATTTGTATATTTTATATAGATAAATTTTGAAGTACTAATTAGGCATTACATTTTTCAAATGCACAGGTTTGTTGTTTTTTAATACAATTTAATTGACTTTCTCAAATGTGTTACATAGAAGAAAGCAGAATTCCACATCCTAGCGCTATCAATTCTGAGCATGTACAAGGCTGTGTAGGACCCAGTTTCTCTGTATATACTATTCCAGTTCTCAGTCATCTATGTAGAAAGTGCACTGTTCTGCCCTCTCCCTATCTGCAGCTATATCATTGCTTCCTGGTTGGGGTGGGGTTGGGGTGGGTCGGGAGGGAAGTATATTGGGAGGAGGGTGGTGGGTCAAGGCAGAAGGAGAAGCTGTTGCAATGAGGGCCGTGAATTCAGTTTCTGTTGGTTTTCGATTGTGTTTGATTTTGTTACTTTCTTAAAAAAAAAAAAAAAAGATTCAATCGGGCAGCTCCCTTTTTCCACAAGCCTTTTTGTGACTAGAACTATTGTAGAGAAAATGTTCTTTTCTATATTATAAAAGAAATTATCCAACACAGTAATATTGGTACCTGTCATTTTTTCACTTCTGTTTTAAAAAAAAATGTATTTTTAGCAAAATAACTTGGGTAATCTTCTAAAAAAGAAATTTAAAAACTCACTTGTTAGTGACTTTGATGCCTTTTAAAATAAGAGCTTTTTCATTTCATTCCATCTTTAAAATTTTTTATCTTTGTTGTAGAATATTAAAAACTATTTTAAGAAAGATAAAAATTCTCTTTAAAGAGATCTCTAGAGTGTGTGAATAGAGCTCCAGATGCCTCTAAAAGCCGCATGTACAAATGAAGCTAAGTCTATTCCTGTCTGTTTATATTTGCTTTTCCTGTTTTGTAACCTCTTTGTACTTTGTTCATGGTGACTTGTAAGCTAAGGGGAAGGGGTGCCTAGATGCCTTTGTATTTCTCCATGTCATGCGCTCCTGGGCCAGTTGGTCTCCCTTCCTCTCCTTGTATGTAATATCACTTTTTCCCCCTTTCTAGCAAGTACTTTCAAAAGAACTCTGTACATTTTAACATAAAAAAAATAAATTATGTTGAGCCATTTTGGATGTCTGTCTTGCATGTGGAATTTTTCTCCCTTCCAAATATTTCAAACTCCAATTCTTTTTCAACACATACGGCCTTTTCATGTTCTTCATTATATAGCAAGTATAAGATCATGACTTTTGCTTTGAAATCCAGTTTTCAAATATATATGTATTTAATGCCAACAATTGGTCAAGGACATGCACCTTGCTTGCGGGCTCCTCCCTGGTCCAGACCCAACCCGTGCAAGAGGCAGCCAATCAATGTGTTTCTCTCCCTCTCCCACTCTTTCTAAAAATCAATGGAAAAATATCCTCGGGTGAGGATTAAAAGAAAGAAAAAGAAAAATACAGTTGTAATGACAAGTACCTCCTAAATCTGAAACAGTGGTGTGTTTTTCCTCATTACTGTTTACCATGATGTAATTTAGGAAGATTTGCCACAAATCAAGGTCCTGAACATTAAAAAGATTTTTTTTAATTAGTTATTTTACTTGCCTCTCATCATTTAGAATTTTGAATAAAAGGCAGGTTCCAGAAAATTATATTTAACTTTGGAAAGTTGACAACCTCAGGGTGGAGAGGTGAAATGGCTGCAAGTTTTAGTGGCCTCCAAACTTTGCTACCCTTTCATACTAAGAGGAATTTAGGAATTATACATGAGTAGTTATCTATAGCAGACATTTGTTTAACCCTCATGCCATTAAAGTTTTAGGTCATAAAGTTGTCATCCAGAATAGGTTTGCTTCCCTTGATGTCTTTGCTTGCTTGCTAGTAAGTAACCATGATTTGGACCCAAGATTGTCATGGTACTGTGCAATTATTTGTGTAGTGTCTCAAAAACATGCTTCTTGCCTTTGCTACTGTAAACTACCTGCTATAAGTAAATTCAACATACAGCAATTCTGATGACAAAGGAGATAATTTGACCAAAGACTATATTATAGATTTATTTGAAGTGTTAGCACCCTCACTATATATTAAATTAAAAATATAATTTGAGTAATATACCTCCATTTGTAGCCAACTCATGAGTGATGTGAGTAGAGAAGGAGCTTTTATTTCTCTATTGCCTTCGCATCAGAGAATAGGTGTGAGAGGATGAATGTATATATTGCTGAGACTTGCCATGCATTTAGTTACTAAGGTTCCAGGAATTCTATTTCTACTAGAGGCCCAGTGCAGAAAATTTGTTCACAGGTAGGGTCCCTAGTGGCTGCCAGCTGCTGGCCAGGACCTCCCTTCCCCCAGCTGCCTGCCACCACCTCTGGCCAGGGCCTCCCCATGGTTGGCTGGCCGGCCCCGCTCCCTGATCGAACCCCAGTTGAATGGAAAATTTGCATATTAGGCTTTTATTATATAGGATAAGGCCTCTCCGAGCATGGCTTTCTTTGTAGCATAGTGACAATATGTATTCACCAATAGCCAGTGTCTGTCAAATCGACAATTCTAACTCTTTAGGTGAGAATTACTGTTTGAGGTTCTCCGTTACATCCTGGGCAGCTTGTGATGGCTTTTGTCCTTGTCTTTTCACAATATACAAGATATGGGTCAATAATGTTAATGGGAAGGCACCTGGAAAAGAGAAAAACTAACTGCCCTTGTTGACAGAAAAGAGTAAGCAGGGTTACTACGACAAGTGTGTGTGTGGAAGGAAAGCACTCTATATCCTTAATGTGACTTTCAAGAATCTAAAAATCCAAGTGATACAGTTTCTGTAAATGAACTCAGAGACTATATAGAGTAAGGGTTTTTTTATTTTTTTATGTTGACTAGTATCTGGAATTCTTGAGCATGGCCATCCAATCAAAAGCTGACAATCCCCCAAACAAAACCCAGTTCATTTCTTAATAAATCTATGTTAAGAGGCAGGGTGGGTTTATTATATATGTTTGTGTGTGCTGAAATTGATTTGGCTTAGTGGTAGAGCGTCGGTCTGTGGACTGAAGGGTCCCAGGTTCGATTCCGGTCAAGGGCATGTACGTTGGTTGTGGGCACATCCCCGGTGCGGGGTGTGCAAGAGGCAGCTGGTCGATGTTTCTCTCTCATCGACATTTCTAGCTCTCTCTCTCTCTCTCCCTTCCTCTCTATAAGAAAATCAATAAAATATATTTTAAAAAATATGTTTGTGTGATTACATAATGCAGCACAGACCCATGGATATTCTTTCCAGAGTGTCAGCCACAAATTGGACTTAATTGAGATTTCCTTGCTATATTGATAGGAGCCTAAATGTTTGCATATGGATTATATAAAACCTCAAAAAAGTGGGAGGTGTAACTTTTGCTTGAAATAAGGAAAGCCCTGAGATATAATGGGACTTTGGATTCTTGAGATCTTTTCAAACACTAGACATAGATAGTAATAGGGAATTGTTTTCCTGTGACTTGTGAAAAACTTTTTCAGTGTGGAGTGTACATTATTGTTAGCAAGAAAAAAATGTTCTAACATTTATTTCTTTTCTAAATATTTCTGAAAGCCGCATTTAAGCAACATTCAAAAATATTAAACGCTCCCTGAGTGATGTGTTCATTTTAAACAATTTAGTTTATATATGCACAGGATGAGCAAGCAAAGACAAGCAAGTAAACTGAGAGATAAGCTACTTGCCTGTGCTTAAAGTAAAGAACTATAGTGCAGGGTACAGCTCATTAGGA